TTTCAGTTCTTGATTTATCTTTAAATTCATCATAGTCAAATGATTTATTACTAATAACATGGGCTAATGCTAAATACACTTTACCATCATTAAAAGAATGTTTGAAATTTTCTACAGTAACTCCATATCCATCAGTAACTTCTTTTACCCATTCTAAAAGTGCATCTTCTTCCTTCATACTTTTTCCTTTCTTTTTATCAACTAATACACTTAGTCTATATTTTCTATATAATGTATAAAGAAGACCTAAAATTAATTTAACTCCATGAATATCTGCATCAACTACATCTTCTGCAAAACATCCTGGATTTCTTACTAACATTTCTTTTTCAAGAAATTGCATTGCTAAATGTAAATTATGAACCATTTGAATACGATTCTTTGGTCTTAAATCATATTTTTCTTTTAATGTCTTTCCTGAAAGTAATTCAAAGAAGTTAATGACTCGAATTCCATCTTTAAGATCAACAGCTAAATCTTTTACTCCCATTTGTCTTTGTTGAAGTACTTCATCCATCCATAATGTGAATAATTGAATTTGGACTCTAACCCATCCTGCTTCTTTATTATTTCCTTGTTGTTGACTCATCTATCTTTTCTTCTCTTTTTTTAAGATTAAACTCGTTGAGATTCATCGTTGATATTTTTAGTTTTTTTTTTATTTCTTTTTTGTTAAAGATTTACTATTTGACAAAAATTAAAATAATTAGTATTTTACTATTTCTATTAAACTTCTTAGTTAAATAACATTCGAATATTTGGAGAAAAATGTAATAAAATCAAAGATTGAACTGTAAAACAATAAAAATGGAAGGTGAAAAAGAAAAAAAACCAAAAGATAGAAAAGAGCATTTAAAAGAAAAAAATTCGATAAAAACAATTTGTCCATTTAATTCCGAACATATAATAAAAAAAAAGAGATTAAAAAAACATATTCAGGCGTGTTTAGATAATCCAGTAAATAAACCAACATATGGAAAGTCATATATAATTCATAATTGTAATAAAATAGATACAGTAGAAATCAATACACCATTACAAATAGAAACTTTTTTACCAATTTTAAATGATGAAATATTTAAAAGTGGAATTGATAAAAAAAGAAAAGGAAGTGAATATGTTCATTGTGATTGTATTCATTTTTCACTTTCTAAATTAAATATTGAAGTATTAAAATTATTAATGACAAGAGTTAAAAGGTTGTATGAATTTATCTGTAAACAATATAGTACTATTGTTGCTCCTGTAAGTAATAATATTGAAATTAATAATACAATTGACTATTTACTTGACCAGAAAACTCTTGAAGTTGAAGTTCCTCGTTATTGGGGAAAACCTAATCAAAAAATGACAGTTCAATGTTTTTCAATTATTAAACATTTAATAGAAAAAGGAATATTAAAAAATACTTCTAATTGTACACAACAAATAATTGAAACTGGTGCTGGAACTGGTCAATTATCTGCAAGTTATTTATTACTTCCTCATGAAAATAAAAATTATGTTTATCTTGTTGATAGAATGAATGCATCTCATAAACGATTTGATAGAATTGGTAAATATCGTGGAGATGAAGTTAAACGAATCGTTGCTGATCTATGTGATTTTGATCCTACAGAACTTATTAAAGAAACAATGCACAACCAACCATCTGGTAGTGTTTCAATTATAGGAAAACATTTGTGTGGATCTGCTACAGATATGGTTCTGAGAATGGCTGTTAGATGTAGTAAACAATTCAAATTAAATGGAATAGGTATTGCTCTTTGTTGTCATATGAAAGGAGACGGTCATGATGATTGTATGTCTGATTTCTTTAAATCTCTTGGTGTTAGTTTACTAGAACTTACTGTTATTCATCGTATGTCTTCATGGGCAAGTTCATTAAGGGATCTTCAAGAAAAACAAGATGATTGTATTGAAATAAATGAAGCTAAATCAATTGGTGGGGATGAAGAATTTCAAAAAGATCAACGTATTATTGGTGAAATGTGTAAAACTTTATTAAATGTTGCTAGAGTCGTATGGTTAAAAAATCAAAATGTTATGCAAGATGTTGGTCTTGTAAAATATTGTCTTCAAACAATAACCCCAGAGAATGTACTGTTATGGGGAGTTGGAAAATAATAGGATTATTTATTTATTAAACACTTTTAGTTTATATAGTTTATATGTTGTATTGTTCATTTATTATTTATTCTATTATTTTAAAATATGTAACATAAAAAGGTTAATTTCTGTAACCACTCATTTATTTCATTCACAAATGTCCTCTTCCAATCAAAATAACTTCTGGTAATGTTCCTTCTTCTAATCCACGTTGTTGATAACTTTCAAAATTGTCATTATTAGCATTGAGATTAACAAGGTCATATCCTAGAGCAGTTTCTCCCTCTCTTATTGTATTACCAAAAATAGTTTTAACGTATAAATAATCTTCAGTAACACCAAAGTCTTCAGATTTAATGATTTGACAATCAGCTAATTGATATTGTCCAACTGGTTTACCGATTTTAGTTACTTCAACAACATAATATTCAACAAGATTCTTAGAATTTGTTAATGCATCAAATGGATGTTGGAAAAATTGGTGAGCATATAATTCTACTTCGGTTCCTTTTAATACATCAACAAGATGTAATGTTCCTGCTACTTGAGTACACACCATTAATGGTCCAACACCACCTAATTGATTTACATTAACTTTTGGAAGAAATACAAGGTCTTGACGAGAAATAGGAACAACTTCAACAGAAAAAGAAACTTTAAAGTCATAAGTGTTTTTATGGTCATCTTGAGACACCAATTTCTTTGTTTGTTGATATCTTAAAGGAACTAATGTTTGTAAGAAGTCTATAAATTTTTTTGCATGATCAACAGATTGAAAGAAGATATCCATTCCATCAGGCATTTCTTGGATATCTGTAGCATTTTGGTGAGCATTTGCTTTTAATATTTCTTGTTCTAATGTTAAAATAGATTTCTTATGTTCAGCATGTTGTCTTAATTGAACAACACTTTGCCATGTATTTTTTGCTTCAGCTTTATGACAATTATCACAAAATCCATTTACAATAATAAACTCTACATTAAAGTCTTGTTGAATGACAGTATTTTTAAAGACTTCTTTTTCAACAGTTAATTTAATCTTTAATCTTTTTGAATGTTCTTCAGTCCAAATATATGACGCATTGATTAATTTTAATTTATTTAATCCTTTAACTCTTTTTATTAAATAAGTCATTAATTCTCTTGACTCTGGCTCACAATAAAACCATGTTGTTCCTGCTAAAAACTTTTTACATCTTTTGCATTGGTCAATAGTTATTTGTTTAGGAATTCCTTCTGTAATATCAATAGTTTTATGTAAACAATTAGCACACATACTACTAGGATTAACTTCAATTAATGCTCCACAAACACAACAAAGCATTTCAGCTTTTCTTTCAGGTAAATTAATATATTCTGGTTCATTAGTATTAGTGGTATTACTCATAGATTATGTTACTTTTACTATCCTTCTTCTCTTATTCTTCAAACCCTTTTATAGTTCTTTTATTAATTTCATTTATTATATTTTTTATTCTTCAAGTCAAACTTTGTAAATAACACAAAATCTTTCTTTTTTAAAAACAATTATAAAAAAATTAGTAAATTATGTTTCAGTATTTCTTAATTTTTTTTATTTCATTTTACTATGATAAGATTATTTCATTCATTCTCTTTTGGTTCTTGTTCATAAGGTACTTCTATATCTCTTCATTATCCTCTATTATCTTCACAATATTTCATTAATTCTTTCATGCATCATTCATTATATTTTTACCAGTATTTCACTTGAAGTTGTAATACTTTATTTTTTCAACATTCTTACTGTTTCTTTATTGAATAATATGTTTATTATAAGTATTATTGTCATTACTTTTATTCTATTAATTTGTGTTATTTTATCCATTTCTATTTTATTAATAAATATTAATTTTATCTTTTTATCATTTATATTTATCATTCATCTTATCAATTATTATTCTTATTTGTTTTATCTTCAATATAAATATATTGTCTTTTATGAAATATTAATTTTTTATTGATTATTTCTTATTTCTGTTTATTTTCTATTCTTCTTTTGTATTTATCAATTTATTTGTACTGTTGTTTTATTCCATTTTATTCTCTCTTATTTTATTCTTCATTATTTCATTATATTAAATTTATATTTTATTTTGGTTATTCTCTTCATTTGGTTATTTCATTTATTAATTTGTGTTTAATTTGTTCATTCTTATTTACAATATAATTTATTATCATGTTCAGTCTTATTGTCGTTATTTCTCATTACAAATAGTACATCATTTTCATTTATTATTTGATGTAATTATTTATTTGTTCATTTCATACAAATATACAACTTTCTTGAATTAATTTCATTGTTTTATATTCATTTCTTTTTATATGAATGTTCTTCATTATTTTATTTGTTATTTTCTTATCATTTCATTTTCATACTATCAATACTATTTCACCACAACTTCTTTGTTTATTCTCATAATACAATTAATTACATATTTCATTTGCATTATAGTATTTATGGTAATATTAATTATTATTATAGTGTGTTTAAATGAGAATTGATTTTAAGACATTTATAATAATGATAAAATGTAATAAAATGATTATTGTATGTTATTTGTTTGGTAATGTTTATGACTATTTTCACCTTAATCTCATCTAAATCTATTTGAATGTGAATATTACTTTTATGTGATTTTCATGATATTCTTGTGCTTTAGAAATTAACTAATTGAAGAGAATAATAAAGCAATAATTATCAAAAAAATTTTTAAACAAATTTGCTTTAGACGAACAATAACACAATTATAATTCATCTTTTGTTGATGAGGGATCTTCAAACTGAACTTTTGGCCAACTAGCAAATACAACATCATTTGGAAGAAGTGAAAAATTACGTTTTTGGAAAAGGAGGTCAACAGAAAGATCGAAGTTATCAGAAGAAAGGTCAGAATTAGAACAATCAATAGCATTCATATCAAATGAATGGAAATGCTAAAAACTATTATTATTTATTTTATAAAAAAGAGTTATTAGACAATAACATAAATATTAAAGAAACAAACCGTTCTTTCAGGATTAAGTTTCATATAATTTGTTAAGACTTGATATGGAATAAATGAATATGCACAATCATTTCTTGTTTCGTCATGAGTTTCTTGAAGAAGACCTTCAACTTTATATGGAACAAAATAAGTTTCAAGAAATTCTTTCCAAACATGATTAAAACGATAACGCAATTCATCTCCCATAAATTCAGTAAGAGTAATATCAAAGAAATTATTTTCATTTTGAACAACATCAAATTCTGGCCAATTTTTATTGTTAGTACATAAAGGAACAAAAATACTTTCATTAAACATTCCCTTCTTTAACAGTTCATATAAATTAAGTTCAATATTATTTTCATCTAATGAAGTAATAGTTAAATTAGCACATTTAATTCCTTCAAGAACTGACTCTTCATAAATTTTTGGACTTAATTTTAAGGTGGTAAATGGATAATGCTCCGATCCTTGATTGTTCCAACAAATCCAATTTGTGTATGAATTATTTTTTCCACACCTTTGTGTCTCAACATCAACTGAGACATTTCCCATCCACCAGTCTACTGAATGTCTCGTAATATTTTCTTCTCCCACTATTCTTGCAATGAAACCACCTTGAATTGATGTTCCATCAAGTAATGATGTCATTGTATCATCATTCCATCCAACAATAATTGCTGTAACTCTATCACTTTCACCTGAAAATGCAGTGTATTGTTGTGTATATTCAAATAATCCATATGGATCATTTTGTTCTGTAATAATACCTGCTTCAATACATTTATTATTTAAATAAACTACACGAGGGATTTTAGGAAAATGAATAATAATTGGAATATGAGTTTCATTTAATAATTGTTTTACATCAATTACTGAATTAATTGATTTTGTTTCTCCTTTAAATTGAAATGTTAATTGAGATGAACCAAATAATGAACATTTCTTTAAATCTCTTAATGCATTACAAAAATGTTTAGCATCATCTATTGTTGAATTCTCTTGAAATTGATAATTAAACAATACACTAAAATTATTTTTAACTCCAACATTATTTCCATTTATTTTATATGAACTAATATCAAATATACTTGTCTCATTGTTTTCTACTGTATCACACATCTTTGAAAATAATCCAATTCGAGTAATATCTAATAACATTGCTATTTCTGAAGTGTTATAATCACTTTGGAATGTTCCATATAAAAAATCTCTTGGTCCAACAATAAATGAAGGAGCAAAATCTGGATCAAATGACTTATTTATCGTTTCTAAATCTCGACACCCAGTTTGTGCTATAAGAATAACTATTATTGCTAATAAAATTTGTACTAAAAATAATGTTGTCCATAAGATAATAACAGGTGCACTTTTACAAAGTTCTTCAGAGAAGAATTTGACCATTAATTTCATTTTAAGTTTTTTTTACAAGTTCTTTTTACAAGTTAATTTCTTTTAATTCTTTTTTTATTACCTTTAAAAAAAAAGAAAATGGAAAAGTTAATTTACTTAATTCATATCATATGGTCCTTTAAAGACAGTTTGGTATACTTTCTTTGTTGCTGATTGAATAGCTGAATAATCTACTCCTTGAGTATGTGAATTGAGATAAGATTGATCATCCCATTTAATATCAAAAATAGAGAATGCTGGTGCATGTAATCCATCTACAACATAATTCTCATTGTACTTTTCTAATACTTTAAATGGAATGAAGTCATACCCACATTCTTCAGAATTTGTTGTTGCTTCTTCATCTGATTTAGTGTAGGAAGCCTTGAAAATATCTTCAAGCATTTCAGGGCAAGTAGGTTGAATAGTAATTGTTTGTTTATCTGTCATATCTCTCTTAAATGAAAGTAACTTGATTGTAAACATATTAATTCCATTAATTGGGGTAATATCAAGTGTACCATATGACTTGTAAGGTCCAAAAGAGTGTTTCTTTGATTTTATAAAGTAGATTCTAGATGTATCGCATTTAAAGATTCCTTGATATTTATCATCTTTACTACCATCACAAGTTAATGGGGTTA